ACCAACGTTTCGGAGGTCATACTGCCTCCGTCATCAGGGCGATGAGTATGAAGATTTCTGTCTTCTGGGTTGTTGCGCTGTGTATATTCATCGCCCTGATGACGGAGGCAGTATGATCTCTGAAACGTTGGTTGACATCGACCAGACTACACAGCGCAACAACCCAGAAGACAGAAATCTTCATACTCATCGCCCTGATGACGGAGGCAGTATGACCTCTGAAACGTTGGTAAACATCGACCAGACTACACAGCGCAACAACCCAGAAGACAAATCTTCATACTCACCGCTGTGAGAACCTCAAGTCTTACTTTGTAAACATACTTTTTACTCACTCTGTATATTAGCATTTCGACCTTTACCGTTTTGTAAACGTACTGATCCATACCATTCTATTATACATGTATTTTAGCAGTCGCATTTGACGATTATCATATTCACAAAAAAAACACTTGTACTGGCGACATGTCGTTATGCGATATAAAACATGCGTTGCGTTGACAGGACATCAGTGTTCGTATTTACCCTTCTTAAATCTGTATCTACTTCCCAACAGTTTTTAAATGCAGGGGCCGTTAAATAATCAGTTGTGACCACTGACACGTTTCCAACACGTGTTGACAGCTCCATACGGAATATGAAATGCATTCTTGGTAACTCTGTCGGCATATTTTTAAGCGTGATTTTCTGACAATTTGCCTTCGGAGATTTTAAGCTGGAATCAAATCAGGAAAGGTTGTAATGGTTAAAATACGCCTACTTGAAAGTAAAAGAACGTATTAACAACAAAAGAGTAAGCCGATGTTATATACGAAATACGACTACAGATGTTACATAATGAACACTTATGTAACTCAAAATTTCAGCTTGATACTACCTATGGCGTCGATTCGCCAAAAAAAAATTCTGAAGAATATCACGATATTCAAGTTCAATGCTTTACAGTCATATTACTGCGGATACTGGGAACGACCCGTTCTTCAAGTTCCTGAGCACTGCGGGTCCCAACTTTTTCGTTGGCTCGATCTATAGACATTCGGTAGGACTCCTTGGATGAGGGATCGGCCCGTCGCAAGGCCTCTACCTGTACACAGGACAGCACAACACAGAAAAACATCCATGGCTTGAGTGGGATTCGAACCCACGGTCCCAGCGACCAAGCGGCACAAGGCCCACGCCTCAGAACGCGTGGCCACTGCGGACCCCTACGGTCATATTATATCCATTAAATCACATATGTATCACCCATTATAACTATGCTTTATTGATAATTAAAAAACCGACATATTTTACTTCTTAAACGACTATTAAAATAACGTTACCGCTGTAATATAAAATATGATGATGATCTCTTGAGGTCGAAACGCGTTTGGAATTAGTGTCCTTCAAGTGTAAACAGTTTTGTTTGTATGCGTATTTTAATATTATATTCCAATACACTACACGGTATGCAAGGTTTTAAGGTTACCGCTACAGTTGTAGGATTCAATTAGACCAGCTCTGTGGTCGGCCGTGAGATGCGACCAGTTTTCTTACGCATTACCTATGAACTGTGAAACAAAACACGAGTGTCGTGACGATGAATCTGACCTCTGCGTTGCCTGTAACGCCCTAATGGGCACAAAGTCCCATTAGCTGAGAATTTATAAGAACAACGAAGCAAGATGTTTCCAATAACCTCTCAAAATGTTATCTCTGATACTGGTCGCAGTGCTATTTCTGCTGTCCGTCAAGCTCTATCTGCAGAAGTTCAAGAGACCGAGGAAATTCCCTCCCGGTAAGTTACCGTTCTGTCTTAAAGTTACTAACATTAGTCAGTAGTCAATATGTGAAGGTTGAAGGCAGTTTGATCACTCAAAGCTATCAGAGGTGCATGAAGACTAAGTTCTTCATTTGAACTAACAACCTAAGCCTGAACAGTCGAAACATGCAGCAGGCGTGGGTAAACGAGAAATGCGTACTGTTTGATGGGAAAATAACGAATCTTCGAGCCGAAATTTGAACACCTGACTTCAATATCAAAGCAGGAAAGCTAACTCAGCCGCAGTTTTTGGTACCAAATATTAGAATTATAAAATCAACCCGGGTGACATGGACGGTGTGTAGCACACGTGAGGTAAATGAAAAATTCTATTTGACTGGATTCATCGGGCTCGTATGGAACTTCGAAGTCCATAAATGAAAAATAAATTATCGGGTAGCTGAGTCTACTCCATGGAGTTAAATTAATGTCTCGTCCTAAGTATGCTATCGAATGTGTGCACGATTCAGTGTTCCAAAAATAAATCCGTTACAATCAGAGTGAAGTCAAACAAATTAACACAAATGTAAGATTTGAGGTTTTCACAGCCGTGAGTATGAAGATTTCTGTCTTCTGGGTTGTTGCGCTGTGTAGTCTGGGCGATGTTTACCAACGTTTCAGAGGGCATACTGCCTCCGTCATCAGGGCGATGAAGATTTCTGTCTTCTGGGTTGTTGCGCTGTGTAGTCTGGGCGATGTTTACCAACGTTTCAGAGGGCATACTGCCTCCGTCATCAGGGCGATGAAGATTTCTGTCTTCTGGGTTGTTGCGCTGTGTAGTCTGGGCGATGTTTACCAACGTTTCAGAGGGCATACTGCCTCCGTCATCAGGGCGATGAAGATTTCTGTCTTCTGGGTTGTTGCGCTGTGTAGTCTGGGCGATGTTTACCAACGTTTCAGAGGGCATACTGCCTCCGTCATCAGGGCGATGAAGATTTCTGTCTTCTGGGTTGTTGCGCTGTGTAGTCTGGGCGATGTTTACCAACGTTTCAGAGGGCATACTGCCTCCGTCATCAGGGCGATGAAGATTTCTGTCTTCTGGGTTGTTGCGCTGTGTAGTCTGGGCGATGTTTACCAACGTTTCAGAGGGCATACTGCCTCCGTCATCAGGGCGATGAAGATTTCTGTCTTCTGGGTTGTTGCGCTGTGTAGTCTGGGCGATGTTTACCAACGTTTCAGAGGGCATACTGCCTCCGTCATCAGGGCGATGAAGATTTCTGTCTTCTGGGTTGTTGCGCTGTGTAGTCTGGGCGATGTTTACCAACGTTTCAGAGGGCATACTGCCTCCGTCATCAGGGCGATGAAGATTTCTGTCTTCTGGGTTGTTGCGCTGTGTAGTCTGGGCGATGTTTACCAACGTTTCAGAGGGCATACTGCCTCCGTCATCAGGGCGATGAAGATTTCTGTCTTCTGGGTTGTTGCGCTGTGTAGTCTGGGCGATGTTTACCAACGTTTCAGAGGGCATACTGCCTCCGTCATCAGGGCGATGAAGATTTCTGTCTTCTGGGTTGTTGCGCTGTGTAGTCTGGGCGATGTTTACCAACGTTTCAGAGGGCATACTGCCTCCGTCATCAGGGCGATGAAGATTTCTGTCTTCTGGGTTGTTGCGCTGTGTAGTCTGGGCGATGTTTACCAACGTTTCAGAGGGCATACTGCCTCCGTCATCAGGGCGATGAAGATTTCTGTCTTCTGGGTTGTTGCGCTGTGTAGTCTGGGCGATGTTTACCAACGTTTCAGAGGGCATACTGCCTCCGTCATCAGGGCGATGAAGATTTCTGTCTTCTGGGTTGTTGCGCTGTGTAGTCTGGGCGATGTTTACCAACGTTTCAGAGGGCATACTGCCTCCGTCATCAGGGCGATGAAGATTTCTGTCTTCTGGGTTGTTGCGCTGTGTAGTCTGGGCGATGTTTACCAACGTTTCAGAGGGCATACTGCCTCCGTCATCAGGGCGATGAAGATTTCTGTCTTCTGGGTTGTTGCGCTGTGTAGTCTGGGCGATGTTTACCAACGTTTCAGAGGGCATACTGCCTCCGTCATCAGGGCGATAAAGAAAGACAGCGACAGACACCATCAGAGCTTTATTACACAGTTGACTTCTTTTTCTTAAAGGTCCGTCGTGGCTGCCTGTGGTAGGAAACTTCCCTGACCTGAAGATAAAATGCCGCGAGAAGAAATACATGCACGAAGCTCTAGCAGCTCTGGCTCACGATTACAACACCTCGGTCCTGGGGCTCAGACTTGGAACTGACCTCACCGTCATCGTGTTTGGCCAAGAACTAGTTAAGCAGGTGTTCAGCAGCGAGGAATATGACGGACGACCGGACTCCTTCTTCACCCGACTGCGGGGGATGGGACAGCGCAAAGGTGGGCTTCGGTTTGTCTGAGTGACATGACCCATCAAAACTTAACTGCAGCTGACATCTACTTTGTTAGGGTCGGAAACACGACTTGGAAACCGAGGACTCTTTTGAAGTGTCCCTTCAATACTTTCAGGCAATTTCTTAGAAATTTGGCATAAAAACAGGTAAATCTTAATCAACTGACTACAACTTATCGAGAGAGGTCCTGAATTGTGAAATGCATTTCCTCAGTTATGCCAGCCTAACGAGAGAAGAGTGTCGTAGATACATGACGACTTTTGCAGTAGGCGAGGACAATGTTGTAGAGTACAATACCACGTAACCAACAGGCATCATCAACCACATTCATTTATGCCCTGTATTTGAATTGCAGGAATCACATTTACAGACGGCAGATTTTGGCAAGAGCAGCGGAGTTTTGCGGTTCGTCACCTACGACAGGTAGGGTTCGGTAAGGAGCTGATGGAGGGTAAGATAATGGACGAGCTTCATGAGTTGCTGCATCTGTTCGGAGAATCTTCTGCGGTGGGGCGCGATGTCAGCATGGGGGTCACGTTTGCCCCTAGCGTGCTCAACGTGTTGTGGGTCCTGACCACTGGCGACAAATTCTCGTCACGTGACGACCCGAACCTACATCGTTTACAGCAGTTGTTCACGGCTCGGGCCAAAGCGTTCGATTTGACGGGGGGTTCACTCAACCAGTTCCCCTGGATGAGGTTCCTGGCGCCAGAGCGAATAGGATACAACGTCATTCTGCGACTGAACGCTGACCTCAAGGATATGTTCATGGTGAGAAACGGAGAGGTTAGACGTCCACAGTAACTATTCTGGCTCGGCTCCTTAGAGTGTGCTTCATGCAAATAGACGACAATATGTGACGCCAGTACAAGCTGAGCGTGTCATACTAGTTCCACATGCTACTACGGTTGAGAATGAGTATTTTTACCTCAGCTTCCCAAACACGCCTTCTTTATCTGGTGTTAGGCACACGAAAAACCTTGCCTTTCACTTGCGATGTTCTGTTTGCAGATGTCTATCAAACAGCACCAGAAAAGTTACGATTCGGACACAACAAATGACCTGATTGATGCATTCCTTCACGAAATGGAAGCTAGGAAAGGCGATAAGACATCCACATTTACAGGTAAATACGCGTCACACCTTGAAATCATTTAAAAATTTATCCATCGTTCGCGACCACTAATGGTCATCGTTAATCGATGACCAGCGGTTCTCAACCGGCGACATTCGTAACTTCGTAGATTTAAAAACAGTTCACAAAATCCGACAATTGCAGTAAGAACTTCTTCAACCCTCCATTCGAATGTTTTACAAAATCACCCTCCCCCCATAACTTATAAACTCTGACATACAGTAACTATATTTAGTAGATGCTTGCTGCCTCCATCGTCCACCCTGATGACACAGACAGCAAGCACCTCTGTGCCTTCTACCAGATTACGCGGCGCGACAACCCAGAAGACAGTCATCTTCATCCTCGCCATCATAAGATCATCTCACTCAGTAATTACGTATTCTTTTGTACAGTTTCCAGTGCAAGTCTCACCTCGCCTCTGTCTGAAGCGGCGTTGGTTTGATAAAGGTTTTTGTTATGAAGTATACTGCCTAAGATCAACGTGCAGGGACATCTTTGCCGCAAACATTCGTCGTGATTCGGTGTCAGCCTATACTCGTTCTGTTACAGTTGATCAGCTGATTATGATCTGTATGGATTTCTTCATCGCGGGGACACAGACCACCAGCACAACGCTGGACTATGTGTTTCTCATGATGCTTTTGTATCCCGAGGTACAGCGTCGTGCTCAGGAACAGTTGGACGCCGTCGTGGGGAGAGACAAACCTCTACAACTCGCCGACAGGCACAAGTAAGTTCATTACGCCTACAAACGCCGCCTCTCCACTCAAGCCAGATACTTATTTACTGTACTGCAGAAGGTTATCTGTTCTGTCAAGTCTGTGTGGAAACAATCCAGCGGAATCGCAATCCAACATCTCTGTCTCACTCACCAGCCGTCTTGTTTGATTCCAACTTTGGTGTAGACAAAATATAAGAATCATTCTTTCTCAGGTTACCGTATGTTGGGGCCGTCCTGATGGAGGTACAGAGGATACACCAGGTGACACCACTGGCAGGACCGAGACGTGTAACAAAGGACACTACGCTGAACGGATATAACATACCGAAGGCAAGACTGAAATAGTTCCTGGGCCATGGCACATGGAATGTATAAACGACGTAGAAACGTCGCTCGATGCCATGTGTACGAAATTGACTTCTTATCAATTCGATTCGCCCCAGCCAATGTTCTGGTAAACAGACCACAAGCTACGACCGGAAAGTCGTAGGATTTGAAGTTGATCCCGTTATTCCTGGCTGGAGCGAAGTTATTTCTAATTTTCAGGTCAAAAATACAAATACCATAAAGAAAAATACAGAAACTCTTTTAACGCTAGTGAAAAGGTGGCTCTAGAACTGAACGGAATGAAATCTAAGTATCGGTCTGTATGTTCGGTTCTCGCCTCAGTGCAGAACAAAATAATAATATAAAGACATAACAAATATGTAACATTTGAGGTTTTCACGGCGGTGAGTATGAAGATTTCTGCCTTCTGGGTTGTTGTGCTGTGTAGTCTGGTCGATGTTAACCAACGTTTCAGAGGTCATACTGCCTCCGTCATCAGGGCGATGAGTATGAAGATTTCTGTCTTCTGGGTTGTTGCGCTGTGTAGTCTGGTCGATGTTTACCAACGTTTCGGAGGTCATACTGCCTCCGTCATCAGGGCGATAAAGAAAGACAGCGACAGACACCATCAGAGCTTTATTACACAGTTGACTTCTTTTTCTTAAAGGTCCGTCGTGGCTGCCTGTGGTAGGAAACTTCCCTGACCTGAAGATAAAATGCCGCGAGAAGAAATACATGCACGAAGCTCTAGCAGCTCTGGCTCACGATTACAACACCTCGGTCCTGGGGCTCAGACTTGGAACTGACCTCACCGTCATCGTGTTTGGCCAAGAACTAGTTAAGCAGGTGTTCAGCAGCGAGGAATATGACGGACGACCGGACTCCTTCTTCACCCGACTGCGGGGGATGGGACAGCGCAAAGGTGGGCTTCGGTTTGTCTGAGTGACATGACCCATCAAAACTTAACTGCAGCTGACATCTACTTTGTTAGGGTCGGAAACACGACTTGGAAACCGAGGACTCTTTTGAAGTGTCCCTTCAATACTTTCAGGCAATTTCTTAGAAATTTGGCATAAAAACAGGTAAATCTTAATCAACTGACTACAACTTATCGAGAGAGGTCCTGAATTGTGAAATGCATTTCCTCAGTTATGCCAGCCTAACGAGAGAAGAGTGTCGTAGATACATGACGACTTTTGCAGTAGGCGAGGACAATGTTGTAGAGTACAATACCACGTAACCAACAGGCATCATCAACCACATTCATTTATGCCCTGTATTTGAATTGCAGGAATCACATTTACAGACGGCAGATTTTGGCAAGAGCAGCGGAGTTTTGCGGTTCGTCACCTACGACAGGTAGGGTTCGGTAAGGAGCTGATGGAGGGTAAGATAATGGACGAGCTTCATGAGTTGCTGCATCTGTTCGGAGAATCTTCTGCGGTGGGGCGCGATGTCAGCATGGGGGTCACGTTTGCCCCTAGCGTGCTCAACGTGTTGTGGGTCCTGACCACTGGCGACAAATTCTCGTCACGTGACGACCCGAACCTACATCGTTTACAGCAGTTGTTCACGGCTCGGGCCAAAGCGTTCGATTTGACGGGGGGTTCACTCAACCAGTTCCCCTGGATGAGGTTCCTGGCGCCAGAGCGAATAGGATACAACGTCATTCTGCGACTGAACGCTGACCTCAAGGATATGTTCATGGTGAGAAACGGAGAGGTTAGACGTCCACAGTAACTATTCTGGCTCGGCTCCTTAGAGTGTGCTTCATGCAAATAGACGACAATATGTGACGCCAGTACAAGCTGAGCGTGTCATACTAGTTCCACATGCTACTACGGTTGAGAATGAGTATTTTTACCTCAGCTTCCCAAACACGCCTTCTTTATCTGGTGTTAGGCACACGAAAAACCTTGCCTTTCACTTGCGATGTTCTGTTTGCAGATGTCTATCAAACAGCACCAGAAAAGTTACGATTCGGACACAACAAATGACCTGATTGATGCATTCCTTCACGAAATGGAAGCTAGGAAAGGCGATAAGACATCCACATTTACAGGTAAATACGCGTCACACCTTGAAATCATTTAAAAATTTATCCATCGTTCGCGACCACTAATGGTCATCGTTAATCGATGACCAGCGGTTCTCAACCGGCGACATTCGTAACTTCGTAGATTTAAAAAACAGTTCACAAAATCCGACAATTGCAGTAAGAATTTCTTCAACCCTCCATTCGAATGTTTTACAAAATCACCCTCCCCCCATAACTTATAAACTCTGACATACAGTAACTATATTTAGTAGATGCTTGCTGCCTCCATCGTCCACCCTGATGACACAGACAGCAAGCACCTCTGTGCCTTCTACCAGATTACGCGGCGCGACAACCCAGAAGACAGTCATCTTCATCCTCGCCATCATAAGATCATCTCACTCAGTAATTACGTATTCTTTTGTACAGTTTCCAGTGCAAGTCTCACCTCGCCTCTGTCTGAAGCGGCGTTGGTTTGATAAAGGTTTTTGTTATGAAGTATACTGCCTAAGATCAACGTGCAGGGACATCTTTGCCGCAAACATTCGTCGTGATTCGGTGTCAGCCTATACTCGTTCTGTTACAGTTGATCAGCTGATTATGATCTGTATGGATTTCTTCATCGCGGGGACACAGACCACCAGCACAACGCTGGACTATGTGTTTCTCATGATGCTTTTGTATCCCGAGGTACAGCGTCGTGCTCAGGAACAGTTGGACGCCGTCGTGGGGAGAGACAAACCTCTACAACTCGCCGACAGGCACAAGTAAGTTCATTACGCCTACAAACGCCGCCTCTCCACTCAAGCCAGATACTTATTTACTGTACTGCAGAAGGTTATCTGTTCTGTCAAGTCTGTGTGGAAACAATCCAGCGGAATCGCAATCCAACATCTCTGTCTCACTCACCAGCCGTCTTGTTTGATTCCAACTTTGGTGTAGACAAAATATAAGAATCATTCTTTCTCAGGTTACCGTATGTTGGGGCCGTCCTGATGGAGGTACAGAGGATACACCAGGTGACACCACTGGCAGGACCGAGACGTGTAACAAAGGACACTACGCTGAACGGATATAACATACCGAAGGCAAGACTGAAATAGTTCCTGGGCCATGGCACATGGAATGTATAAACGACGTAGAAACGTCGCTCGATGCCATGTGTACGAAATTGACTTCTTATCAATTCGATTCGCCCCAGCCAATGTTCTGGTAAACAGACCACAAGCTACGACCGGAAAGTCGTAGGATTTGAAGTTGATCCCGTTATTCCTGGCTGGAGCGAAGTTATTTCTAATTTTCAGGTCAAAAATACAAATACCATAAAGAAAAATACAGAAACTCTTTTAACGCTAGTGAAAAGGTGGCTCTAGAACTGAACGGAATGAAATCTAAGTATCGGTCTGTATGTTCGGTTCTCGCCTCAGTGCAGAACAAAATAATAATATAAAGACATAACAAATATGTAACATTTGAGGTTTTCACGGCGGTGAGTATGAAGATTTCTGCCTTCTGGGTTGTTGTGCTGTGTAGTCTGGTCGATGTTAACCAACGTTTCAGAGGTCATACTGCCTCCGTCATCAGAGTATGAAGATTTCTGTCTTCTGGGTTGTTGCGCTGTGTAGTCTGGTCGATGTT